TGGCACCATACAATATTTGTCCTTTTGTAACTGAGATATTTCACTCAGCATAATGTCCTCCAGGGTCACTCATTCATGAGTTCCTTGTTTTTCAAAGCAGTGTAGTATTCCATTGTGTGAATATACCACAGTTTCTCTATCCAATCTTGTTAATGGACACTTTGGTTGTTTCCAACTCTGCTATTGTGAACAAAACCACAATAAACATGAGTGTGCAGACATTCTTGCTTTTTAAGACTTTGGAGTAACCCTTTTTGCTTTTTTTTTAACTGGGTATTAATTGTGGATCCAAGCAAAATGAAATTGTTGACAACTTCAATCTTTTCTCCATCTATTATGATGTTGATAGCTGGCCCACATGTATACACTTAAGATTGTGCTGGCTATTGGTCCAGTAGTGAAGATTTTTGTTTTCTTGATATTGAGATATAACCCATATTGAAAGCTATATTCTCTGATCTTCTGCAGCAAGTGTTCGTTTATGATGTTAGTTATACATGATGCTTGGTGTCATTGCTAGGCTTTCTGTGCTTCCTTGACTATGCAAAGGCATTTGACTGTGTGGATCACAGCAAACTGTGGCTAACCTTGAAGAAAATGGAAATCGCAGAGCACTTGCTTGTGTTCATGCAAAACCTGTACTTAGACCAGGAGGCAGTTGTCAGAACAGAGCAAGAGAACAGTGCATGGTTCAAGATCAGGAAAGGTGTACGTCATGGATGCATCCTATCTCCATACCTTTTCAAGCCATATGCAGAACGGATCATCCAGGAGGCTGAACTTTACGAGAAGAAATGTGGCATCAGGATTGGAAGAAGACTCATCAACAACCTGCGCTATGCAGATGACACGAGCTTGCTCACCAAAACTGAGGAGGACCTGAGGTGTTTGCTGCAGAAGAGCAAGGACTGTAGCCTTTAATACGGCTTGAAGCTCAACATCAAGAAAACAAAGATTCTCACCGCTAATGCAGTTGGAGTCGCAGTCGACTCAATGACACATGACAACAACAACAATTGATTGCAATTCATAGTCGTCCCAGGGGCAGAAGCTAGGAAGAGCTAAGGACCTTCCTGTAGAGCTAGTAGAGAAATGAAGCCTTCTCTTCGAGTTCATGTCCTGAATTT